ACCCGCTACTTGTTCTAGATTAGAAGTTATACCTTTTCAAACATCAGGGTGTTGTTTCATTGAAACCTTCAGTTTTTAGCCACGATTCAAGGCGTTGCTAGAAATCAGGATTGATTGCGATTCGAATGAAATTTCCATGAGTTTCAGACTGAAGTCGTTTCTGTAGATGTTCGGAACTTTAACCCGCTACTTGTTCTAGATTAGAAGTTATACCTTTTCAAACATCAGGGTGTTGTTTCATTGAAACCTTCAGTTTTTAGCCACGCTTCAAGGCGTTGCTAGAAATCAGGATTGATTGCGATTCGAATGAAATTTCCATGAGTTTCAGACTGAAGTCGTTTCTGTAGATGTTCGGAACTTTAACCCGCTACTTGTTCTAGATTAGAAGTTATACCTTTTCAAACTTCAGTGTGTAGTTTCATTGAAACCTTCATTTTTACGCCACGATTCAAGGCGGTGCTAGAAACCAGGATTGATTGCGATTCGAATGAAATTTGCAGGACTTTCAGACTGACTTCTCCTCTATAGATTGCCATCATTGCAAGGCGCTACTTGTTCTGGGTTAGAAGTTGCAGTTGTGTAAACAGGAGCGTGCAGTTATATGATAATCTTAACTTTCGAGCCCAAATTGAGAAAGTTGCTAAAATCACCACTGAATGCGATTTTGCGATACGTTTTGAGTGAAACTTTCAGGAGTTTTACGTGCTTATTATTTGTATGTATAGGCAGATATTAAATAACGCGGCTTGGGGAGTGGCAAAGTAGGTACACAGGCGTGTATTGGAACGGATTTAATCGACCTTAATGGTCGGGACATTATTCAAGCTACATGCTTTATATGGACAACAATTCTAAATATAAACTAAATTTACATAAAAACCGGTAGACGATTATTATATAATATAATACATTTCAAGTTCAAGTTCAAATTAATGCACATAAAAATTGTTTAGGCGACTGCATACGGCGACACTTAATTAGGAAATCAAATTACTAAATAAATTGGCCGATTAAGCGCTGATAGAAAAGGTTCAAATCACCCGCCGCTTGTACCGGTTTTCGCAAAAACTCTAAAAACTCTTCACTACGACCTAACAAGTATTGTATAAATTGGCCGAATTGGATGTAAATCAATCGATAATCATCAAACTCCACTAAGCATTAAAAAGACTCCAGGATGTGCCTTTACATCTCGTCCGACTGCGGGGAAGTTTGACCGGAATCCTAAAACAGATAAGCACTTTTATGTCTTGTCTCAGTTAAATTCCATTGACTCACTGAGTCCGAGTTGGGCGGCGAACTCCTTCGGCTTTGGAGCAGTTGCTTGACTATTCTGCGTGAACGCAGTGGCACGTTCCTACATGCAAGACATTTATTGAAGGGAAACCCTTTTAAGTGCAAACTTACAGGCAAAAGTTGATGGGCGGGTGCCGAGCCCGCGATTGGTTGCTGTATTGGCGAGGCCTGGCCCACTCCACTTCCAGCCTACAATCGTCTAGAACAAGCCCTACAAGTAAAAAACCGTGAAATTAGCTGATTTTTTTCTCAGAACCGGTCTTACCCAGCAACCTCTCCATGACTAGTTGGGCGGCTTCGCGATCTACGCAGTGCACAAAGGCGTAATTCTTGATCTTATGAGTCTTGGTGATGAGGCCTTTGCACAAGTACTGGAAGGTGCAGTTGACGCGCTCGTTGGAGTAGTGAATCGGCAGATTCTTCACGTACAGCACCCTGATCTGAGGGAAGAACCGGCGCATTAGTTCGGCCCGCTTTTGCTGCAGGCGTTCTTACCATCTGCAGGATATCAGGGTCTACTTCGGGCACGGGTTCAGCCCAGTCCACATAAAGGCTTCGCTCCCAAATCACCAGGTTCCTAGGGTGCAGCTGTCTGCGCGCCAGCGAAGCCGAAAGATGAGATTCGAATTCAACGAATGCAAACCCACGGTTTTCTTCAATGGACTGGAAATTTTTGCATTACCCATGTAGCATCATATATCATGTAGCATCATATATTTATACAATATTGGCAGAGAATTTTTATGTTGGGTCAATCTTGTCAATTATTAGCCAATATTACTCCAATATTAGACTAGCTTTTTTGACCAATATTGATGCTAATACAATATTGGCAAAATATTTTTAATTTCCAGCATTGCTTGAAGATTAACATGCAATATTGTATAGCAAAACTATGCCAATTAAACGTTTTCGATATTATTAATAATTATTACCTACTAAGACAATATTTTATGATTATTAATTATATCGAAAACGTTTAATTGGCATAGTTTTGCTGTAACTCAACATGTAAGTACATATTATTATTACATAAATATAGTGATAGGTATCTTTTTGCCTACTCTTTTTAATATAATAAGTTCACAAATGTATATACATGAGGGCATGTATTTATTGTACAGTTGCTTATAATCCATACAAGCCGTACGATTATAAAACTCTGAGCTTTATTCGAGTTTTGCTAATTTTGTAAGGTAAAATGAGGTACCACCGTACCAATGCCGGGTCTTATTTGAACTGCTTTGAAACTAGTTACAAACTGTTATTCTAAAGCTTATTAAACACATTTTTTATATTTAAACTCGCACAATCCTAAAAATAAGTAATTATGTAAATAAGATTTATTGTATGCCACAATAACGAGTGTAATCTAACAACTTACATAGAAAATTAAGTTTAATCTTCATTTTTTAGAGAATTTTGTTCTTTTTCTGTAAAAATACATGTACTTGTAGAACATATGCAAAGTCTGAATATTGTGGCACAATGTAATATCAATTTCAGGTCATCAAGATTGAAAAAATCGATGTATATAAAAAGGCAACTTGAGATAGAAGTTAATACTTTAACTCCAGCTATTGGTAAAAAGCATAAACCCAATTTTGGCATCTGTGAAAACACTAATTCTGAAAGCTTTGGGTTAGAACTTCAGAGTGATGAAGCTTCTAATGATCCCTTATACGTTAACCGACCTAGATATCAGGAAATATATCGGATTTTCCCTGGCTAGTGCTGGAGATAGAGAGGGTGGAAGAAAGTCCAGGCCGGTGAGTTTTTTTTTGTTTAACAATGGTTTCATGCAAGTAGACAAATAGCCATTATTTGTTTTGCAATTTTAGTAAAATCTAACTGAGTTTATTTTATTTCTAGGAACCGATATCAGGACAAAAATAAGATATGCGTGTGATAAAAAATGTTTGTTATTTAATTAATATATGTGGGTATTGTTCAATAAATATGTGGATTATTTAATATTCTGATTCCTCACAAAAAATAATTGAAAATAATATGTCATTGTTAGGGTTGAATATTAATTAATAT